AATAAGTTTCAAATGACCTTATGACCTGACTTTAGGTTTTTTTGCTCTTAGCATCTCATTTGGATTGGTTGCTTTTTTAGAATAAAGACTTTTATTTTGTTGTATATTTTATCTCTATTGTATATTTCACTCATGAATATCTGTATAATATTTTTACTGATCCACATATTTCAAATACATTTCCAATATAGTTTAGAAATATGATATGATATTAGCCAGTACAGCTGCTAATACTTCTAATATAATGAAGTAGAAAAAGAAGAATCTGAGGATATTTTAAGGAGAAAATTATATCTTTTGGTTTAGGATATTTTGGGAAAGCAGTGCTGGATCCCAAACACCTCTCTTTCTCCCTCTCCTCTGTCTGATGCTGCTGATTTGTAGGTCATGTGTGAGCATTAGAAATAAACTGAGAGAGTGTGTGAGCAAAGGACTTTTACCCTCTAGTGGTGAGCCTGGGGAAAACCCTGTCAAATCTATTTAGGAAAAAAATATGAATGTCCAATTATCCCTGCTCAGTTGTGCATGGAGGCAGTGACCCAGTTGGAAATCAGTTTCACATTTCCAAATTTCATATTTTATTCACCAGCAAGTCTGTAATAGTTAAGTGTGAATAAGAGGGATATGCTGTGTAACTATGTTGAAGTTTTCTTTTTCTTTTTTTTTTTTTTTGGATGGCACAATCACCCAGACTGATGTCATTCTTGCACCAAACAGCTCCCAGCAGAATAAAACGAGCAGACTGAATCAGACACAGCTGCTCGTGTCAAGTTACACAGATGTTAGTGAGCTGGAAATTTTTTACTTCCTGTGTAAAGTAGTACATTACAGAGCTCTAAAAGGCTTTTTTTAAAATCATGCTTTTAAAATGTTCACTCTCCACAAAGGTTAAGCTTGATTTTCAAAAATTCATGACCTCTCTGTACAGGTGCTCCTGCCATAAATGATTAAACATATATATTTGAAGTAAACTGGAAAAAGAAAATTCGTACTGTCTTACTCATGTTTCAGTATTAATGAACTTCATACATACATTATATGTATACACATACAATGATATATAAACGACTATGAGTACAAAGGACTAGTATTCATAATGTAATAAATCCTGATATTTTTTACCATCCATCCTCATACTGTCTGTATATATATATATATATATATATATATATATATATGTATATACACACTGAAACACTCAATACTGAGCATAGTGTAGCAGCTACACATAGTGGACATCAGTAAGAAAAAGCACAGAGGGAAAATCCAATTGGTTGAAATTCAAGTTTTCGTTTCCAGTGTTAATTAACATAAATTAATACATCACAGTGTTATCCCCGAAAGTGCATAGTAGTGTTTTTTCACACATAGACACACACATGCAAGCACACCAACACAATCACACTCTCCACACACGCACACAATAACATATGTTTAGAAAAATTGTCAACGGGCTCAGTATTTCACGGTTTTGCTTGTCCTTATTCCAACACAAAAGCTGTGACAATGTATTTGGGGAACAGTGTCCCTGAGCAGAAAAAAAACATATTGAACTGAGCTCTGTGGTTTTCTGTATGCCACCACTGTTTCATTATTTTCCATTAAAAAATAAACAGGGAAATCTCTCAGCCTGTGAGCGAGTATGTGGGTGTGAAAGCAAAAAAAAAAGAAAAGAAAAGGAAGACATAGCCAGGGAGAGAAAGGGGAATAGAAAGAGACAAAGAGAGGGGAGCCAGGGAGGGGATAGGTGGTATTTAAAATGAAGATGACACGTGGGATAGTTTCCATTGCGCCTCAGCAGGCTCTCTTGAGATGGGAGTGACTTAACATTTCACAGTCTCATGTGAGACACAGACACACTAAGACATATGCACAACCGTGCGCACACACACACACACACACACACACACACACACTCATAAGACAGCCTCATTTGGCTCAGGAAACAAGGATCTGAAGGCTTTCTTTTGAGGTGAGGGGAAGTGAAATAGAGTTCAGTCTTGAGTTTCACAATGACCAAGGGAACAGAGAGAGAGCGAGAGAGAGAGAGGTTTAATTTCAAAAACTGCATGCTCATATCATCATGGGAGTTTTCCATTATTTGCTTTTGGTGTCTATATTGGTATGAATGAGTGTGTGTATGTATGTGTGCAGTTTTAAAATTCATAGAAATCATCAAACTATTATGTACCTATTTGCTTATTTACTGCATCTATACATAAAACATGACAGATCTGCCCTTTCATTTCCTCACATTTCCCAGATTCAATCTAAATTCCATCAAAATGTTGACATCACCATGCAAACGGAGATCTGAAACTATGATATTTATTACATTTTTACACATACATCCATCCTTCAATGACCCATTATAACTATCTTGAATGTGGAACATGTAAAGCGACACTATTAAAATAACAGAGGGTATGTAGGCTCTTATCGTTGCACAGCACTTACGCAGCATTACAAGGATATCTTTGTGTACTTTTGGTTTGGGGTTGCTTTTCATGGTTGAAGTTTGGCCTATTAATCTCAGTTGAGAGAAATCTTAATGCTGCTTCATGCAACAGCTGGAGGAAGGCCCTGTCATATGTTTCAATACACCCCTGTGCACACTGATGATGTTGCAGCTGAATGGGAGAAAATTCCTGCATCCAGGTTCAGAAATGTTGTGGAAAGCCTTCTCAGAAGAGTAATGGAGGCTGTTTTATAACTACATATTAATGCAAATGATTTAGGAACAAGACACAACCATCACAGCAGGCCTATGGTTGTGATGCTCAGGTGTCCACATAGTTTTGGCATCAGTGCACATGTTGCACTGAAAAATTAGGCTAGAAATTCCTTTCTGTTGTTTGACTATTAGAAATAAACACGCAATTTAAACTACTTTCAGTACCACAATATCAACCAACACATAATTTCTGTTGCCTCCTTCACTTACCTCCAAAGTCAGCTCCGACACAACACGTCCTCCTTACGGCTTTGGATTCAGACGGCTGGACGCAACCGCGACTACAGTGTTGAGGAGCGCAGAAAGAGTGAAGGTAAACTTAGAGCAATGTGTGGCAGTTTATGTATTTGGTAGTTAAACTCGTTTCAGCTGAAACAAAGTCGGCGTGAAACGGTAAAGCGTTTGCTCTTCTTGTAAGAACAGGACCGGAGCAGACGCCGTGGTTTGACTGGCGGAGCAAAAAACACGCAAACGTTAGCTAAATAATGTAACATTAGCATTAGCAAACCTTACGTTAAAGTTTATGTCGTTGAAAGCGAAAGAAAGGAGGCGACGTTAAGTTAATAGTTTTATTTCATAGACTTATCTTAAAATTGAGAAAGTTTTTAATATATTTTTTGGCACTGAGAGAGCATTGAAGCATGCGTTGACGTGCGGTAATTGATTAGCCAACATTAGCTGAGTAACTCATTTGGCTAGGAGCAGGTAGCTGGTCAAATGAGGCTACAATTAACGATTAACTTAATGATTAATTAATTTGACCGTTACTTTTCTCGATTAATCATTTGGCCAAATGCAAATAGAATTATGAAATAGTAATTTAGTAACATTTTTATCATTGTGTTTATCTCCTCTAGCTTCATTAGCATTATATTCGAAAGCATTACAATTAACGCTTGGTAAAAACAGCCACAAAACTTTTTCTTGAATACTGTCAAGACAGAATCAGAACCACACCCTGGCGTCCATTTATGTATTATAAATAGATAACAGAATAAAAAAATTACAATTTACAGTATTTTACAATAATCCATTTCAGATTTTAGTTACCTGAATGTTCTTCCAATTTTTGTATCCTAAGGATTGTATTTTCCTCACCAGTGGTGCATAATAGTTTGCATTATCAAAAATTATTGATCGGCCCCTTGAAATTGACATAGTGAGCAAATTTAGGGCAATTTAGAAACTGAATCTTCAATAGAAACAAAAATTAAAGATTAGGGAACAGTTGTAAAAAGAGGCATTTGATTGATTATATTGGCATAGTTAAAAGCTGCAACCCTCACGCTTTACTTAGCTTTATTCAACTTTTCTGCAGGTTGCTTGAAAAACATGGAGGATCAAGAAGCATTTAAATACAGTCCAAGAAGAGGTGCTGCTAGTTTTCAGTCTCTGCCAGAGTTTGAGCCAAGCTTGCACCTTCACCATCCTCAGGCCGACCAGACAGATGATGAACCCGTTTACAGTGGTGCTTCTGGGCTGAGGTAATGAAACATGGCGGTTACAGTAACTCTACAAGAACAACAAGCTTATCACTAATTGTACATTTGTCTGAATAAGAGATGACTTTTTTATGTGTTCCAGGTACCCTCCTGGTCTTGTAATTGACAGAAAGAATTCAGAACTCAAATTTTAAGCACATCTCACAGTGGTGACATATAAATCCTATCTTTAAACATGACAGATGGACCGTCACTCTTACAGTGCACTATAAAGCTCAGGTCATAAAATCAAGCTGTAACTGTTTCTTTACCAACAGCAATTTGACTTTTACTGAGTCATGGCTACTTGTTACTGAGGTTTCGGAGTGGGCAGGTGAGGAGCCTGCTGGCGAGTGTATCCAGGCAAAATTGGGCACGCACACTGTCAGTTAGTGGATCTTATTAATGAGTGCACCCATAGTTTCAGGACAAGTTGACAACCCAGTGGCTCATTTGGTTGTGATGCTTGTCATGTACTTGGTTTGAATCTGCTCTGAGCCTTTGTTGTTGTAGTCATTCTTTTTTTCCCCTTTTGTTTTCTTTCTCTGTCTATTGGCAATCACAACTCTGTTGGATATTTTGGTCTTTAAGTAAAGACAAACTCTTTCAGAAGTTTTCATCTAAACAGCTGAAATGTTACTGAAGCTGTGTGGTTTCATTTCAATGATCAGTCATTTTCATTATTTTCCTTTGGTCACTGTTTATGTTACCGTCTCAGGAAAGATGTGCATGCGTCCCAAGACCATGGCCAAGCAAGAGGGACTTTACTTTCTAAAGGTGGTGACATGGATCGGGCTTCCATGCCCCAACTGAAAGATAAACTCCTGTTGGGAGATGAGGTAAATAAATGGAAACTGCTAATGCTAATTGTGCTAATGTCAGTATCAGTTAGACTCAGTTTATCACCTCCAGTAGCTAATTTCCTATTGTAAAAACCTTAAAAGTAATTATATGCCTTACATGGAAGTTGTCCTTCACAGGTGACCTGAATTGATATGGATATAAATGATGGCATTACACCATATTTGACAAATATGACATCAAAGTCAAATCTCAACATCTGTGATAATTAACAGCAGATTACTTTACCTGCAGGTACAGCAGTGTTTCATACCATTATCCAGCTAACTGGAGGGGTTCAAAACCATCTGCAGCCACCCACCATGTTATTTATGACGTGAACAACAGATATACATTCTCAGTATTTAACCCCCACATTACATCATCCTTCCTGTCTCATTACTTCTTCAACAGTATGTGCCTTGACAGCAACATGCTTCCCTATGCTATGAAACCACAGTCCCAATTTTTCCCAGGATGATTCTGTTTTTTGTTTGTTTGTTTTTTAAGGGTGAAGACTCAGGTGATGAAGCAACTGTCCTCTCTCTCCCTGGTGTGTCACCTGCTGAAAGCATAATCCTGGATGAAGAGCTCCTCCTGGACCAGATGAAGGACTTCCAGAATCAAGACAGGAACACAGAGACTGAAGGTGCAGTAGAAGTCACACTGTGGGATGTCAGCATTCAGTATCTAATTCTAGTCCGGATAAGCCCCAAATCAGATTTGGGCTGCCATTCTGACCATTACTTTACTCATGAAATTGTGGTCGGTGTGGTGCTGCTCAAAAAGTTCAGCATCTGTGGACAGAGCTCTGCAGCTAGTGTTCCCAAGTTTTTCCAGACTGCACAGCTTTTGTCTTCACTACACTGCACAAGTAGAACTCTCTGGTGCTACTGTGGCCTACGGGGCAGTAAAGAACTGCTCCATTCTACCTCAAAGCCGTAGCCAAACCCTACACTCTGACACTTGTCGTCTGGACTGTTGGCATCCCTGTCACTTTGAGGATCCTGTTATCGCTCATCTTGTCAAGGCTCTTCTCTGTCCTCTGTCCAATAAACTACTGTCTGTCTTATTGTTTTATTTTTTATGTTTCTTCCAGTCTGGCAAACTGACTGGCACAAGAATCACATGGCAGCAATAAGTAGTGAGAATTTTGACAGCCTCCTGAAGATGTGTCCTGATTTCCATGGCTGCAAGAGCCACATGGCAGCATTTGTCTTAATAAGGGGTAAGCTCCCTGCATGCCTTGGGTCGGTAAAATAGTCAAGTTATTGAACCACTATATTTTCCTTATTTGTTTAATCAGTAATCATTTATACACTGCTAAAGAGAACAATTAAAATTTTACGTTAAGTGTCTTGTGAAATTCATAAACTGAACCTTTGCTGATGACAGGTTATCATTGCACTGCATGTAAAATGACTGGAAATGCTTATTTTAAATTCTAGTGTGGGTCATGAAGGTTTTCAAGCATGAAAAAAACATTTCATGGTGAATTATATGGAAATGTTTATGAAATCACAGACAGCTACAATTTCTTTTCATCTCATGCTGCAGCCAGATGGTTATTCCTTTTTCTTATTCAAGAAAATCAGCCTGATTGTGACCTGTGAGTCCTTACTCACAAGTTGATATGAATGGAGACTGATGATGAAAGCATATGAATGGCATTTCACTCTTGCTAACTTCTACCCCTTTATTTCTTCTTTTCTTTGTTCAGACTTTTAAAATGTATTGTTAAACATGCTTCATCGCTTGTTGCTGTGGCTCACCTCACAGTTAAATGCCCTTCATCTCTGTCGTCTTGTCTCAAGCAGTTGGTGTTAACTAAAGCAATAAGTTAATAATACAATTGAATGAAAAATAGTTGAATTTCCTCCACAGAAGTGTTGGATACAGCAGGCCGTCCATGTGAGCATTACAAAGTAGTGGCATTGGGAGCTGGCCATTCAAGCTGCAGCAAGTGGCTTTGCTACAATGGGACAATGATCCATGACTGCCACGCCATCATCATCGCCAGACGGGCTCTCCTAAGGTACAAACTACTAATATGACTTTTCCTTAAAGTGCCAAGTATCAGCTTTACATTAAGGAAGTTAACATCAATATAGAAATAAATGTGTGGGAGATATCACCCTTAGAACACATAATGTCTCATCAGCTCCACATGTAAGCTGTTTGTGCATGAACTAATGTGGAAACAACACACAGCTGTCCAGGTAACATTTAATGGCCAAGTGACTTACTTTGGACACTATGAGTTAAAAGAGCTATATCTTACACAAAGTTATTTCAATACTGGCATCAGCCTATTAAAACTTAAAACTTAGACCTGGTACTTTAATTTAGTATCCATTATTGTATTTCAAATGGAATGAGATAGAGTCTGAAAAACAAAATGTGTAACTGTCCAAATACTTAGATGTGCGCTGTTGTTACACATTGAATTCTTTAATTGTTTGAATGGGAAATGCCCCAGCATCAAAATCTTAACTTTTTTTTTCTCAATAATATTAAAGATGAAGTCATGACATACCTTTTTTAATTTTTTATTAGAGTAGGCTGACTCTCCTCTGCCATTGATGGTGCCTCTGGTGCATTGAAAATGCTGATGTGGTTCAAACTGAGAATGGCATTTTCTGGCTTGTGCTCAGGTTTCTGTACAAGCAGCTTCTGCTGTTCTTTGATGCTGATCCAAATGCCAAGGAGAACTGTATTTTTGAGAGTAGTACAGACAGCCATCAGCTTCAGCTCAAACCCAAGATCAGCCTTCATCTCTACACCAATCAGTGTCCTGAAGGAGCTGCTAAGAACTTCTACTTCAAGTACAGCAATCTGTTCTTCTCTTGTTTTGACTTGTTCAATATACACTCATTGGCCACCTTATTTGGCATAGCTGTTCAGTCTGATTCAATTCAATACAACTGTTCTACAATAGAGTCTATCCTTATGACGCCTATAATGTTAAACTTTTTTTTACACTGTCCTAGGGGTTAAATGAATTATGTGTTTTAGCTCAGGTCATAGCAAGCGGTGCTGTTCTACTGGGCTTCTTGATATATTCGTTTAAGAAAATGGACAGTTCAAAAAAACATTATATAAAGCATGTCTATATAATGTAGACCTGTGTAACTTTTAAACCTTTCCAACCATGTAACTAAAAGCTCAACATTATAAATTTCATAAACACAGATGTTATGGAAGCTGCAGCTGTTGCATTGGATTGTATCAGATTGTACAGGTGTACATAATAAAGTGGCCACTGAGTGCATATTTGATTTGTGTGTATCGTTTGGGCAGTATATTGCAGTGTGTATGTAAAATGCCTTTCTGTAATAGAAATTAAGGATTTAATTCCAAAACTGTAAATTTGCCTTGTAAGAACTGTTGCACCCTACAAATGTTGTAAAACATTCATTATTTACCTGTCAATACATTTCCTTACAGTGATCAGACTTGGAAATTGAATTATCTCTTTTTACGTTAATACATATTTTACTTTTTCAATTTGTATGCAGTGCACATTATATTTGTAACTAGACTGTTGGGGTACAGTAGTTTGAATATCTGTGGTTTACATTTCTTTTGGCTGATACAGTAAGTGTGGTTGTACCTAAATAAGTAAAATACAATGCAATGTCCTTCTTAGGGGCTCCACAGATAACACTTGGACGCAGTTGAAGCTGCAGTATCACACCAAAGGCCTGCTGGTCCCTGTAGCCTACCTTGACCCGAGTCTCTGGGGTGCCAAAGTCTGCTGCATGTCTGGTAGTGACAAGTTGTGCCGTTGGACTGTCACTGGGGTTCAGGGTGCATTACTGAGCCACTTCATTCAGCCACTCTACATCACCAGCATGGTTCTAGGTAAAGGGCCTCAAAGCAGTTGTTCAGCATTTAGGGATTTATTCTTATTTGCTTTCTTGGCAAGAGTTTTTCCTGAAAGATTCATAATGAGACTATTGTGTTGATTTAGGAGGCCAGAAGCGCTTTAATGAGCAAGTGTCTGACATCACCAACAAGAGACTCGGTGATGGATGGGAGCACTTTCTGCCACCATCCTATAAGAAACACAGCATCATCTTTCTCTGTGGCGACTACGTGGGGCCTGTTGTGACCTCCCTGCAGCATGATGACCTCAGCATCAACTGGTGCCTTGGTGACAAGGATGTAGAAGTTCTGGACAGTAGCAAGGGCTTCATCATTGATGGGTAAGATTTGGATGTAAGAACTCTTCAGAATCTTCTGCACACTGTTCTAGGAAACTGCATGACATCTAAGTTTGGGTAATTTTAAGAAGATAATGTGCAGTAACTTGTCCCGGCATCAAAAATATGGGATAGTTATGATGCCCTGTACTCCTCATGACCTGACTGTAGCTTACCTCATTCACACTCCTGCAGCCAGTTCCAGGGATAGAGCAAAACTACTGGCAGAAGCTGATGCAGTTTGTTTGTTTGACAGCCTCAGTGAGGCCTGGGGCACCTGCCATCTCTTGGCTTTGTAGCTGCAGACAACTGCTGATGTCCAGTAGCTAGAGTCTGACACAGACGCGGCTCTCACTAGAGGCTGTGTTGTCCTTGAGCAGAGATTACAGCCAAAAATAGATTTGAGATCCTGCTTGGCACTCACAGTGTTGCTGCATATTTCAGCTTCTGTCCTGCAGCCTGAACTGTTCATTTTAGGCGACACCATTGGTTAAAGTGTCAGTTTGAGGTCTGTTGCATGTTTCAAACAATAAAGTAAAAATAGAAGAACAAAAACAGGCTCCTGAAAAAGACGAGAAATTGGTTTGGGGGGAAGGATACAGGACATAAAGTGTGCAGGGGGACGTGAAGAGGAAGTGAAAGGATGGCAAGTACACCTGCTGAAAAAAAACACATTTAAGTGTGAAAATGAAAGGAGATGATGCTTGTGCCACATGAGACATCTTTAATTAAGTGATGTAGAAGCAGCATGCCAATTATCCCTAGCTTCTTGTAGCTATGGTTTTCAGCTCTGAAGCAATTAATAGTTTCCTAAAATCTTTTGCTTGCACCCACATCTTTTGAATTCTGCAAAGAGAAATCCTAACGGATTGGATATGGAAAATGAGTTGGTAATAAAAAAAATAAGGAAATGAAAGAATTTTCAAGCGGGATGAGGAATATCATGGTTTATAGACAGTGTAATGGTCTTTGAACAGCCATTAAAATTATTTGATATCAGTCAATGCACAGGCATCTGCTAATGCAAACTTCTTTTAATGCTGTTACACTCAGTACCACTGCCAAACATATCTTTATTTACAACATTTACGAGTGCTTTCTTGATTTGAATCGTGTTGCCCTCTTACTGGGCGCTCCTTTAGTGTGTCATGGAAAGGACAAACATCCTTATCCCATCCCCTCCCCACAGGAGTGCCCCAAGGTTCAATACTGGGACCCTTACTTTTTGCAATATACACCACCTCCTTATTATCCTCTTGCACGGATTCTCATATCGCTGCTATGCAGACGATACCTAAATATACATATTGACCCCATGGTCTCTGCATGGATCTCGGCTTGTCTCTCTGGCATATCCACATGGATGAAGGAACGCCACCTTCAACTAAACCTCTCTAAGACTGATTTCCTAGTCATCCCGGCTGAATCGGTCTCTTCATTATGGTATCAATATCAGAGCCTGTTCATCTCTTACCCCAACCAAGGTAGCAACAACCCTTGGTGTCATG